TGCTGCAGGCAACTGCCTATGAATATCGTATTCATATGTTAGAAGACAAATAGTATAATGTGGAGAAAGGGGAGGGAAGATTTTTTTTTCCTCTTTCGCTGATTTTCCTCTGAGGACTAAAAATATCCACCATAACTGAATCTTTTAAAAATAAAGTAGAAAAAAAAGTAAAACAAGTATCTACTTTCTTCCACTCTTATTTTCCATTTCATCTCATCTGTCATAAGTGTTTCTGTACTGAAGTCACTAAGCATGAAGGATGCTTCACCAGTCACAAGTATGTTTGATGGCTTGAGATTTCTGCAACACAAATATTTTCTGTCAGCCTGTAAAATTAGAGTCTAATGATATATAACTACAGGTTCCCAGCATCTTTACACATCAGGTTTAGGGCTTTTGGGGGCGTGCAGGAGGTTGTTAGTAGTGTGTGGTTGGGGGGGGGTGTTGTTTTGTGTGTTTGGTTTTTTTAAATATACAAATGATAATCAACTGAAATACAATTATTTTCCTCTTTTATTGTGAAATGCTTTAAAATTTGTGACACAAATTTATCTGAACATGGAATACAACGACTGTCTCTTACTTTAGATACACAAAGTATACCCCATCCATCACAGCCACCAAAGTGTAAGCATTAAAAGAAATGGTCAATATTCTAACGTTAAAATTAATATTAGAATTTTAGCACATTCAAAAAAAACCCAAATGGAGAGAACACCTGGCTCAAATGGATAATATTAGACAAAACTCATGAAACAAGACAACTTCAGAAGTCACAGAAAACTAATCTACATATGAAGTCCGAAATTTCTACCTCCTTCTTCCCCTTTTGGAACAGTAAAATTCACTACCTCTGAACAGCCGTGCTGAACCAACAGTCACTGCAAAGAACAGTGACCTATCAGACAAAGAGTACAAGATTTCTACTTACCTGTGGAAAATACTTTGTTTGTGTATATAAAACAAAGCATCCACCATCTGCCCCAGGAACTTCACAATCACCTGTTGAAGGGAATATACATGAAAGTGTAACAGAGTAACTTCCAAATATCCTTTGGAAGACAGCTTCCAAAAACACCCTTCAGCAAAACACTGCGCTTTGAAGATTTTGGGGAGGACTTTGAGAAAGAGGGAATACAGAGGGAGATATAAAAAGAAGTGAGACTCTGACAGTTTAACCAGATGCCTCTTCTGTACTTTTTACCATGTCCGCTATTTTTTCTGACTTCTGCCTTTTTTCCTTGATTACAGATGAAAGATCTCCTTGGCCTGAGTGCTGCATTACCAGACAAAGGAACAGAGATGATATCTGCAAGAAAACATTACACCAAAATTGTCTAATTGTTCACAGGTAATAACATATTCAGGAAGAAAGATAAAACCAACCACTTGGCCAAACTGGTGGGTGTGATGTTCACCAATACCAAGGTGTTCTAAGATGATTAATCTCTCACAGAGGAGACTATTTACTTTCTTTTATTAAAAATACAGCATGTTTGGTTTGTTTTTTCTTAAAACAAAACACTATCAAGCATCTTATCTGAAGCCATATGGGACAATTCAAGTCAAATATACATCCACAAAATCAGCACAGATTTTGCCTGAGCACTGAATAAAACCTGCAAATAAAAAAGTCAGGGCTTTCAGTTTTCTATAGTCTCTTATAAAAGGGTTTTCATGCAGGCATGAAAATCAGAATTGCACACTGATTCACATCAGAATCTCTGAGTCAGTGTGCAATACTGCCATGGACTCCAGACATCTTCACAGCTTTTCAGCATGTTTATTCAGGAGTTAAGAAAGCAGGCTTGTTTCAAATCATATAACCTTTTTTAGCATCTCACACCAATAACCCCAAATTTAAACCTGCAAAAATGCTTACATGCCTACAACATTAACCATGTGTTCCAGTTTAGCCAATCCTATTTCATTCTCACCTCATTATCCCAAGTCACAAACAATTCCTTGTAAGCACAGATGTTTGAATGATGAAGTTTAAGCAAAGCCCTTGCCTGCATATATAAAAACAAATATAAAATCAAAAATAAATAAAAAATAATAATTATGATAAAAATAAAATAAATAAAATAATGATAAATTGATAAAAATATATAATAATAATAAAAAAATACAGAGAGCACTTTCTGTGGCTACACAGTCCTTCCCACCGAACATGACCTTAAATAATATCCTAAGCCAGTTCCTGACTCATTCATGTTACATGTCTGATCAAATCCTTTCAATTTGCAAGCTCTATTGTATATTAGTATGTGCAAATGCCAAGTTAAGGAAAATATTTCTAAGATTCTACTCAATATAATGCTCTAACAGCCTTGTGAGATTCAAGGATATAAACTGATCCTTAGGGAGATGATATGTAAACAACTCCCTTCATCAGTTCCTAATATACAAACCTGAAAACACATCTTAGAATATGAAAGTCAAGATGATTTTTCCCCACATAGCCATTATTTCCAGTAACCCCTGTGCAAGCTTGAACCACAGAAAATACAACAACACTACTGAGATGCTTATCTCCTTGAAGCTGGTTTCCATGTAAGGCTCTAACAATTACTGCAACAAATTTACTGATGATGTGAAAGGTAAAAATAATTCAACTTATTCTCCTATAGTTGTGTTTGTGTATGTGCAGACACAACAGAAGAACCGAGAACCACACTCCCAGCTGGGACAACTGCATTTATTTCAATAAACACGTACCTCAGCAGAAAAATTGGATCAAACTTTATCAGTAAAACCAGCCTCAGTACATAAAGAGGTCACCTCCCTTGAGTAGGATGAAGCATCTGTACTGGCATGTAGTCTCATCATTTTCAACTACAGATGTCATGCATACTGGACACTGTGAGACTAATCCATTATGAGCTACTTCACATATTTTGTTGAAACAAATTTTGAAATTTTAATACTATTTCTGATGTTGCTTCTTACTTGAGGCATTGAAACAAGTTTGCACAAAAAGAGTACAACAAAGGAAGAAAACCAATCAAACCATTCACATCAAAAAATGTCCAACTCTGAGAAATTAACATATAATGAATTATGTTAACTACAAATTGAGTTCTTAATAATAAACTATAAACATACCAAAGTTCTCCTTCAGCTTAAAGGCCAAAAGGATGAGCTTTGCTCTTTGTCTTCAGCACAAAACAAATATGAACCCTGAAAAGGGACTATCCTCTGAGAACAGCTGTCCATTTGAATTTACATATTCAAATGTAGGAACAATTAATACAAAATCCTGGCCTGAGCACAAGCAGAGGGCAGGGAGAACAGCCCTCAGATAGTCCTACCTGATTTACATCTTGACTATTTACTTAGTTAATCCTTGTAGATAAAAGACTTTGCTCTGTTAAGACTTTGGTCTTTGTAAGTGAAGTAGTAAAGAAGAACTGCACTGATACCTCCTTCAAGGCCTCATTTGCTTGCTTTTCCTCAATGCATTCAACCTGCACCAAACAAAAGACAAGGATGAGATTGTAATATAGAGACAGGCGAACTTTAAGCCAGACCAATCTTGCCAAGATGACTGGAACTGCAAATTGTGTATGAATTGGCATAAATTTTCAATAACTCCAATCGCTAACGTTTGGAGCAGTCTTCTTGTTGGGAGATGGCCAGAAAGAGAGCTTTAAGCGAGTGTGACAGCCAGCCAGTCCTTCTCCTGCATTGTCAAAGTAGCAGTAAGCTAAGGTGAAAACACACTGGATGGACCTAAATAGGCTGCTCCCCTTCTCCCATTTTTAACCTCAATATTCTTGTAAACTGATCTGAATTTTCCAATTTCCAAAACAGCAGCACAGTAAGATGTAAGCCTACTCTTACCCAGGCCAAGCTGCCCAACGTGTTTGTCTCTGTGGCCATCAGAAAGGTCCATGGAGATGACAAACATGCCAATGGACTCTTGTTTTCCTAGCAACCACTTTCTCACCTGCTTTATTACACATTTCTTCTCCGCACCCGTTTCGGTTTTCAATTCAACTACCAGCATAGTGCCCAGCGCCCCAGGCTGGAGCTGCTCCAGCACCTGCGGAGCAGAGGAGAGACACTAACGCACTTGCTCAACTGCAAGCGGTAAAACCACCAAGGCAGCAAGCCCCTCCAAACCACTTTCCCACAGACACCCTCCACGCAGCACACACCTCCAGGTCCCTGTAGCAGGACCACAGGCACCCCCACCCACACCCCAACTCTCAAGAGGCACACAGGCCTTGGCCTTCCCCTCCCTTCCAGAACTTTCCCCCTCATTTCCCCCCTGCTAAGCACAACACCCCCATCTCCCCAGGGCCGTCCACACCCCAGCGCTTCCCTCCCTGGGACCATGCAGGTCCCTTCCTCAGGGTCACTTACACCCTCTCCAAGGCCACACACCCCCCAGGGCCGCTTACCCTCCCTCCCCATGGCCATATACTACCCCCAGGGGTACCTACACCCCCTCCCCTAGGCCACAAAGCCCTCCCTACAGCCGTGTACCCCCCCCCCAGGGTCACTGACACCACCCACAAGGCTGCAGCCACCCCCTTCCCACCAGACAGGGCCCAACCCTTCGGGCAGCACCTCATATTTCTCCATGGTGGGACAGGGCCCGACCTCCCTGTGAGGCAGGACGGGTGAGGAGGAACCCCCAGGCCCAGGGCGGGAGCAGCCCCCTCAGCCACTGGTAAGAGACGCCCAGCGGGGCAGGGAGAGACAAGAACACTTCCCCTTTCCCTCAACCTGCACTTTCAGCCCCCAAAAAAAGCACCGTTATAGACCCCCGAACAGCAACAAAACCCTGAAAAAGCAAAAAAAAAAAACTGCCGAAGTATCTCCCCCTCGGGCGGCGCGGCTCCTTTAAAAACCCGGCGCGGAGGTGGGCGGGCCAAATGACCCCGGGAGGGGCGGGGCGGCCCCGCCCCGCGTGTGCGCCTCAGCTGCCGCCCGCGCGGCGCCTTTAAGGGCTGGCCTACGTGGCAGCAGCAGCAGCGGCGCGGCCGGGCCCGGCGTTTCTTCCTTCCTTCCCGCCCTCTCTCTCTCCCCCCCGCGATCGTCTCTGAGAGTGAGGCCGGGCCCCAGGCGCGTAGCAGCCGGTAACACCCTCCCCCTCCCCTTTCCCCTCTTCTCCCCCGCCGCCATGGGCCAGAACGATATCATGAGCACCGCTGAGGACTTCGCGGACCAGGTGGGTGTCGCCGCCCGCCTTTCCCTTCTCCGCTCGGGCGGCCTTTGTGCGTCGGGTCCCTTCCTGGGGCGCTGGGGCCGGCTGTGAGGGGGCGCCTCGGCGGGCTCTGCGCTGAGGGGACGGGGGGGTGGGGAGGCGTTGGGCCGCCGCCCTGAGGGGGCCAGCCTGGCCGCGTTAGGGGGGGCTGGGATGGCGGCGGCCGGGAGTGGGGGCTGTTCCTCCGGTGGGGCTGTGGGTTTCCTCGGCCGCGTCGTCTCCGGGAGGGGGGGGGGGGGAGGCTGGGGGCCCGGCTCCCCGCCCGAGTGGGGGTGGCCGGCGCAGGCCCAGCGGCCGGGTCCCTGCGGGAGTGGCTGCCCCCTGCCCTCATGCGAGCTCTGCGGGTGTTCTTGAGCTGCTGGTACGGCGAAGCGAACCAGTTCTCCTTGGGAACCGGGCTTCTCCCGGGGGGTGAATGGGTGGAAGGAGAGCAAGGGGCCGAGCTGCTCGCGTCTTCTTGTAAGCCGTCTGGGCTGGCAAATAGGGTGTAAAGGGATGTGGGAAACCGGGGTGAGGTGGTGGTGACAGGAAAGCAAAAAATCTAAACCCTGACTGATATCCGGAGACCTGGACTGGAAGAGGCTTGCCAGCACCATAGTACTGTGCTTAGCATTGGGGCAAAAGGAGAGGAAAACGACCTGATGTTGTCTTGTAATCCTTTATACATTTATTTCAGTGGAGGCCCTTGTGGATTTTTCTGTTTAAATAGAAGTTTGTGATCTCTTATTATATGTGAGAGCAGGAATATTTTGAGTGTAAGTAGCTGATCTGCTGGTGACGGTGTTAGAAAGATCTTCACTGTCATGGTGATTCATCTAAATGAAAGTAAGAGGCACCATCTAATCATATTTAGCAAGTTCTCTGGAAAATCTGATTCTGCCTGGTTCTACAACTCTGACTGAAGCAGTGTGATTTGTGTGGTGCACGATAACACGTCACAGCTCTGAGGGGGCTGTGCTGCCTCTGTGTCTTTAACTGAGTTTCACTGGGAAAACCTGTTCTGCACTTCCTCCCCACCCCCAGGTGGAAGACTCGTTTTAGAGACAGAGCTTCTCATGGTGTGTGGAGTATTCAGTTTGAGGGGTGTCTGGATCATCTTCGTTGTCCTCTGTTTACCTTTTCTTCACACTCCTTTTTAGAGGAGAAAATAAATTATCACTATAGTGTTCAAATCATTTGCCAAAGCTTACAACACTTGTCCTGAGCTTTTTATAACACCTCTCTATTTATTCCTGTGTGACTATTTCTAGATGTCTTTAACACCCCTTTTTTCATACTACTGAAAGCTCTTTTGTCCAGCTAAAAATGCAGTTTGCTTCCTCCTGAAGTGAGTTTTAAATGGCACAACTTTATTTGTGCTTGGCCACATTCTGTTTAAAGATGAGTCCTGTAGTACAGAATTTGGAGTATTTGCATATACTTACCCATCAGATTGCAAAACAATTTTTATGGCTTTCAAATTAACTAACTCCTTTGATAATTTTGCTTCCAAATAGCTGTCTCATAGCTCAATCGGATACTTCCAGTACTGTGTGTGCTGCGAAAACTCAGTATGATGCCAGTGTAGGAATGCAGAGATTTACTAAACAATAACCTTTGGTATATATTGAGAAGTTAACACTTGGCATTATGGAAACTGTTACTTCATCTTGGATTAAAAAAAATACTTGGAACATTTGCACTGAAAGTATGTTGAAACTCCCTTTGATGGAGGCGGAGGTAGTGAAGCTGGACAATGGCTGTTCTGGGAGCTGAATGCATTCTTAAAGATATCCTTGCTTTCTCCACTCCCTGTACTAATGTTCAAGACCTAATGAGTCTTAATTTCTGTAGCCTAAAAGCCCTGTGGGTAAAATGTTACAGCTACTTCCATGGCTTATCGGTAAATCCTGAATGTCTCTTACAAAAGCAAGAATAATCTGTTCCTTAAATTCAAACACTAAAGCTTAATTTTTCCCAAATACTATAAATGCCAGTTGAAATGGCAAATTATGCCTTGGATGCCAAGATACTGTCGGAAGTCTCCCCTGAAGTAGTAACAAATGGCTCTTAATCCAGAGGTGAACTAGTGCACTGAAGGTATGGTCTTACAAGGTGGCTAAGCTTGCCTGACAGCTAGCTATCAGTGAAAGGGGTTGTCCTACTTTTCCCAAGGTGATGTTCCCCTTTTCTCTCTCTCACTAGCACTTTCTGTCACTGGACTAGAGAGATGAACTGTCGGGGGGGGGAAATTGAGTTGATTTTTTTTTTCCTGTTAGTTCCAAGTATCAAATTGTTTGGGTCAAGTGAGCACCAATGCTGGTGGTGGGATCACTTGTGATGAGAACTAACCATTGGTTTAGCTTGGCTATAGCATAAGTTTGTAGCCTGCAGGTGCACAGTATGGCTGGTGAGCTGTTCCGTTCTGTGCTGTTGGCAGTTTCCAGGGACTGCAGCGGAGGAGGCAGCTACTTGGTGGGTGTTGGGGGTGGTCCTGTTGATTTCAGAGAAGGCAACTTATTAGATATCAGGGAGGGCGGGAAAAGCCATTAAGGGTTCTTAAAATCTAAGTGATACACAGTGCAAGGAAATCGGGATCTTGGTTCAGAATGATGCCCAGCTACAGGCTTTATGGATTGATTTGTTTTTAAGCCCCATAACACTAGCCTGATGTTATTAATTAAATAATTTACATACTGAGAAGTTAAGCCCCTTTTTAGTGATTCTTGTTAAAATATTACATGCTAAGTTCTTCATTGCAGTCACCATGTACTGCTGACAGTATTGTACTGGAAATAGCTGTATCTGGGGTCTGTACAGATTGTTTAGGGTTATAGAACTGGTTGTTTCTCATCTGTAATCCCATAAGAGGGAGCAGATCTCAAGCAACTTTTCTGGTGTCTGTAATCTTTAGGAATGTGGGTGCCTGGTATTTCTGCTGTTCTGAAAAAATGATGGACAAAAATGCAAGGAGACTATTGAGTCATTGTACTGCAGTGAAAGGACTCTAAGGGAGAACCAGACTCTGGGGGTTTTATTTAATTTTCCAACATAAATGCTGATGCACGTTGTTCAGCTAATTGTAACATCTCTGTATCCTATTTGGCAGAAAACAGAAGGGAAAAGAAAACATTTCATTGTTAGTCTGAACTTTTTTGTGGTTTATATTAAAAAAACCTGAATTTGGAAACTGTCGATAACATAGTCAGTTAAGGATCAGTGCACTGATCCTTTATCATTATAAATCAAATAGCCTATTCTGGTTAGGCTGGGGAAGAATCTTCCCGTGAAGAGAGATAGCAAAATGCAAAACATGACTAATAAATCCCATTTTAAAGATTTGATTAATAAATAGCCCTTTGGAAAAAGGAATTGGTATAAAGCATGCTTTAGAAGTGAAAAGCATTGTCATGAGACATTTTCCTGCAACTGAAAACCTGATTAAGACCTCTGGCAATGTTCTAGTGGACAGAGCTGTTGTCTTGCTGTTTGAAATAAGTGGGAAAGCCTCTGTTCCCAGTTTTCACAAATAACTTGTAGACGTTGATTAGCCCAATGTGATGGGTGTTACTGTCCCTGTGATTATTAGGTGGGATCTCCTTCAGTGGATATATACAGGTTGGTGAAAGGAAGTGATTTTTCTCTCTGTCAGAGGGCTGAGCATCCTATTCCAGAAAAGATCACTGGTGTCTGAGGCTGTTAGAGGTCTCTGTCCTCCCAGAACAAAGCAATCCCTTAAATGACTATGAGGTAGATATTTGGAATATGCCTTTATCAAAAGCTCTAGACTAATAATGCTGTGCAGCCCACAAGAGGGCTTTCTGTGCAGATTTGCAGACTGCTGTTCATCACCATGATCATAACTTACCTGATCCAAGAACACACACGTGTACACACACAGAAAAGGCTTCTCTGTTTGGACAGAATATACCTAGGTGACAGCACAAATTCCCAACTCCTGGCTGTGTATTGGTCTCAAAATACCTGTAATTATGCTACAGTATGTACACTTTCAACAAAATGGACTGGATTTTTAATAAATTTGAAACAGTTGGAGGTGGGATGTAGTTTAGAAAGGATGATATTACCTCTCTTTGGGGAGGCCTTTTTATGGATTTGACTATTTCAAGCCTCCTTTTAGAAGTATGGATTTTGAGCAGAGATTTGATTTAGGGATCCCTGGATCCTCTTGTGCATCTTTGCTTGTTAAACTGCAAGGAGCATTTAAATCTATCTTTGCCTTTCTAATCCTGTTAGAGGGGGAAGTGGCAACACAAAGCCTCTCTGGTTTATGTTAGTGACTTGGCTGCCAACACAGAACCAGCTGTTCTTTAAAATAGTTTTACTTTAGCATTTTGTTGTCTTTTCTCAAGATGTTTTACCTCTTGCAAGGAGGCAGTATGTGCCAAGAACAGTTGATGCAAAGCCTATAGCAGAATAAGCCATCAAAAGATTTGATGTTGTAAGTTTAACACTGCCACCTCCATCAATCTCAACAGTTTTGTTTTGACTTACATGTATTGTGCTCAGTGTAGTGCATGTTTTGAGTCCCATGTCTTAGTTGGATATGTTTATTAACTGCAGCTACCAAGTTTCCCGTATGTGCTGCTGTGTGAATCTTAAAGGAAATAGGAAGTGGTTTCAGGGTGCAGTGTTTGAGCCACATGTTGCTGGTGATGTATAGGGACAAAACCAGGGGGTCTGGTACTATTAGTGCAGTCCCACTTCTAGAGATCTGTTTCTTAAAAGTTACTCTGTCCTTACCTAAATTACTTAGGTGATTTGTACGTGAATCCTCTAATTGTAAAATCACTTAATGTCTGTGATGCTCTCTTGTTGTTATCTGGTAATTGTTATCTTCCTTTCTCTCTGGATCTCCATGGCTAGTTGTTCTTTTGGCTTGGAATTTTGTTCATACAGTCTGTTTCTGAAGCTTATTCACTTTAAGCTTGCTGCGTACAGGGGTTTCAACTTGTGTGTAGCTCAGTAAATGCAGCTACATGAGTTATGGATGTCCAAAGATGATGTGTGTCATGATAAGGTTGCTTAGCACTGCTGCTGCCTTGGGCTTCAGTCTTTCTGACTTGTCTTAAGCTGATTGGATGTGCACACTCATGTTTAATAGAGAGCATTAAATTCCCTCTATATACAACGAGAACAGGTAAATGTTAAATGCCGCCTTGGCTCCTTCACCTGGACTGTTGGCAATTGTTTGGCTTCTGGGAAAGGGAAGATGAGATCAGTTCACATGACCCACTTAAGAAGCAACAAAGATGAGGCCTGGAGGCAGATACCCTCTCTAATGTTTGCTTCTTTTTTCAGCCTTTCCACAGCAGTGGTTTTTTTTCCTTTTCCTACAGATGCCCGGCACTTGTCCTCTTTCATTTCCTTCTAGACCGAAGTTGCCTGTTCTGCATCTTGACAAGGCAGACTTATTTTACAAACTGCTTTTGGTTTTGTACTATTTCCAAAACAACTTTATCCTTAGTATTTCTCAGCAAGTTTGCCCCAATGCACAGTGAAATCCAGGAGAGAAGAAAGCTGTAAACCAAGATGTGGGTCTCATTCAGTGACAAAGATCACAAATTTTCTTCTGACTCATTCATCTAACTGTTGACATGGCTTAAAAAAGCCTGAAGTGGCAGCCCTGAGTCAGAGTACAGCTGCACTTAAAATACACTTGATTAACTTGAATCTTGACCCTTAGACTCTGGATGCAGGCAGTACAACTAGTGTAGTTTGCTCCAATATTAACTATTAAGCATGTTTGCTGGATTTTTTTCTTGTGATAATCTTCAGTTACGCAGTAAGCAAGCCTTGTCATTTGCATAGGATTTGGAACAGCCTTTAGTATTTGCTAATTACTGTGGCAAGAATAAACTTTCAGGAATGGCTTTAGTCTCCTTTCTGCATATTCCCATATATGCTGAAAGCATGCAATGCTGCCAGAACTTTAAAAAAAAAAAAGTATTCTGGCCAGAAAGAAACCAGTCAGCTGTATTGTCTAACCTGAAGTCAATGTAAATGCTGTATGGTGAAAGAGAAGGTTTGTGTGCCTTTTCTGTCCATTTTTTATAATATAGTTCAATGCTGTCTGGAAGACACCTATACACATGTGGGTTCCCCCACCCCTTTTCATGCTTGACGTATTCTAATACTGCATAAACTGTATGAATCAGTGTGCCTTACAACACAATGAACTTTGTGTGGGATAATTGGGGTTTGTTAAATGGCTCCTTCTCCTAGGAGTTCTAACACAGGGGTCTCTGTGGAGGCTGGCAGTTCTGCATGAAGGCTTGTGGCATGGGCATTTACCTTCACAAGTGTCAACCTGCCCAAACTGTTCCTGTCACCTGAAGGTAGAAACCTGCTGGATAATCTTGTAAAGTTAGTTTTAGATTAAATTTATGTTTGTTTCTTACTAGATTGCGCTTACTCAAACAGCGGCATACACTGACTCCAAATGTGTCCTTCTAGTGATCTGGCTAAGCTGAACCTGTGCATGAAATGGGCCAGCCAGGTGCTAGCTTGCATTCAGAGTGACAGTGCAAATCCTAGTGAAAGTCTCCATTAAGTAGTAACCAGTGCTGTTTAGGAAATGGGGTGACAGTTAAATGCTTGTCATGGTCCAGAGGCAGTAAGGTTTCCTGTGCACCTCACAGTCATATACACCATGTTAGTCTAGACCCTGTTTGGCAATTCTGTATTTGTTCCTTTATACTTACTGTAACTGTAGAGCAAACTAACCAGTGACCTTACAGGATGAAGAGGTATGTGGGACCAGATACATCTTGCATTCCCAAGAACTAAGGCTCAGCATCTGTTGCATGATGATATCATTTCCTTTTAACTACTACACTGAACTGTATATATAAATGCCTATTTTCTTTCTGCAGAGGGTGCTATTTTTATGTGTATAGTTGCCTAGAGGATAGAGGGTGCAATTTCATGCAACGGCTACACTGGTCTAATAGCTGCTTTTGCTATCCAAGTGCACATGCTTTGCACTGTTGCTTTTCTGAGCTGTTAGAGGGAACTAGCTTGGAAAAAGCTTATTAATGTTTTTTAATTTGTACAGAATTAGTCTTCTGTCAGCCTGACTCCCTCAATCAGTTTAGTAGAGGCTGTTGAGTGCCTGAGCATGTGGGTGGGAGTAGGATTGCCCTTTCAGCTCCTGGCTATCTGATAGTTGAGCTGTAACATGAAACCCTGAGACAGACAAACTAAAACCAAGGTCAGCCTTCATCTAGTAAGAGCTCCATCAAAACACAGTTCTTATATGGAAAGGTGCTGCTGGATTCTGCTTTTCTCCCAAGTCCCTGTCCAAAATGCTTTTTGGGTGGAGCATAACAGGTTTCTCCCACTGCTCCCAAGTGTTCTCAGACTGGAGTGGAGAAAAATTTCATTAAATCCAAGTCCCAAGTATGTGTTTCTCTCTAGATGTTGATGACCCTGTGTGCACGAGAACTGCTGACCTCAGAGTCTGCAGAGTGCATGGATCTGTTATGCCTTGAGTATCGCCTTGCCTTCCTTCCCTGCTAATGATGCTGTCTGCCCATGCAGTTCCTGAGGGTGACGAAGCAGTACCTTCCCCACGTGGCCCGCCTGTGCCTGATCAGCACCTTCCTGGAGGATGGCATCCGCATGTGGTTCCAGTGGAGTGAACAGAGGGATTACATTGATGGCACATGGAACTGTGGCTATTTCCTGGCCTCCATCTTTGTGTTCATAAATCTCTTCGGACAGCTGAGTAAGTGGCTCTAAGGCTGTTAAGGTGGATGCCAGAGTACTCCAGTGTGTCTGCCACCCTGGCTTATGTAAGCACTGTGAATCATGTAAGCATGGAATGCTTCACTGATTTCTTAATAGCCATTGACAGCTTAGAACTGATAGTACTACATGGGCTGAATGAAAAGAACTCTTAAATGACCTGCTTCAGCCTTTCCTGGAAGCAGTCTTAGAGAATTTCTTGTGACATACTACCTCTGAGTCAGAGATGCCAAGAATCCATTAGGACAATCTGTTTTCAGTTCTGTATGTGCATCTATAAACACATACCACACCCCCCAAATTCTGTAAATGAAATACTCGTTTTCTTAAAAAGGGCAGTGTTAAGACTTTCTCAGCCTCCTGTTTTTATGGGTATTAATCTCAATGGCAAAGTCTTATCCTGCAGTTGATACACTTAAGCCTTAGGTGCATGTGTTGGAGATTTTCAAAGCCCAGGAATCAAAATAAGCCCAGAAGCAGAGCTTCTATATGTGTGCTAGGTGGGCTTAGGGTATCAGAAATGGAGAGAAGTAAAATTCTTTTCCATTTATATTATGTCCCTGATCTACTGTTCTTGATTACTCTGCCAATTTCTTTTCTTGTGTCTGGGGGTTTTTTTATCCTCATATTTTTGTGTAGTGAGTCAGCATAATTTATTGTAGTTACCAGGCCTCATGTCAAAGTGGCAAAGGCTGTCAGTGCTTTGTGACAGAAGACTTGAGGAAGGATATAAAACAAAAGGTTTCAAGGAAAAGGAGTGCAGCATGTTTGCCCTAAGTTATCTCATTTTAAAAAAAAAATCCATGATGAGTTGAGGTTTTTTAACTACTTTTAATGCTTTAACACTGATAGCTGCTGTACAGTGCTGTGTGTTGGGGACTGCATTCAGCATGTGCTTACCCTTTGTAAAATGAAAGATACTTCTGGAATTATATTTTAAAATGCACTAAAACTTCTTGGTTCTCAAACTGATTTGTGCCAATGTGCCATTAAAATTTCCTGCCTGATGTTTCAACTGATGCACAGCTGAAAGAAATCAGTCTGCTCAGTTCAAAACAAGTTAGCATTCCTGCAGCATCTCTTCCTGTTAAGCCAGAAGTGTAACTGTGTTCAATTTCCCCAACTCAGGCGGCTGTATCCTGGTGCTGAGTAGGAACTTTGTGCAATATGCCTGCTTTGGACTGTTTGGAATTATAGCATTACAGGTAGGAGGCTTAAGTCTTCAGCCCTTCTAAACGATATCTTTCAAATCTTCTCTCTTAGCCCCAGTACTACCAGCATGTATTTAAATACAACTCATTCATAACCCTGGAATTTTTCTCCACCGTGGCCTAGTGGCAGTCCTCACTGGCATTGAAATGTTTTGCTGCTTCTGTTCTGATGTGCCCAATAGATCCTTGGCTGTAATTGCAATTAGTCAGCTGGAGACATTGATTCAATACTTGACCTTGACCAATTTAGCAGAATTAATTTGCAGTTTACCTGTATGTCAGTAACATGCCAAATGTAGAACTTGTAGTTGCTTTGGCCTTCAGCACACTGCTTTTATAAAGGACTTTCCCCATCACAAAGGATCCTAGCTAGTAGCCTCCGTTGTGTTCAAAACCAATTAATTTTTGTGGAAGCTAAAGCACAAGTCAAATTTTGGCTTCTATTCCCTGTTTTATACTGACTCACTGGACCACACTGATGTAACCTGCCTTGTTTCCTTCTGTATAATGTACTTGTAATTGACTTCCGCTATGGATAGTACAGGCTTGAGATTATAACATAAATTCAGAACTTCAGTGTAACTTATATGGTGTTTTAACCTGTTTTATTTTTTACCTAGACTATTGCATACAGCATTTTATGGGACCTGAAGTTCTTGATGAGGTATGCCTACTTCTTAGAGTTTTTATCAAAACAGAACGAAGACTGTTGTCTGTTACTGCCACTAGCTGACAGAAGAAATGATCTTTGTACATAGTATTTACTAGAAAGATATCACAAATTATGCACTTACATTGGACAAGAAATGACAGCACTTAAAGTCAGTAGAGTCTGTGTTAAACCATAGACAGCAGTCTCAGTACTGTAGAAGGGAAAGACTAGTCCTAACCCACTATGATCTAAATGCTTCTGCTACTAACCTCCTTGCTAAGAGTTTACAAAAAAAACTGTCTAAACTGGATCAGTGAGCTGCTATTATTTCCTAAATGGCTAAAATAGCAACTGTGCTTATGCGTGACTGAAGCCATTTTCCAAGAAAACTAAAGCATGTGGATACTAGAGTGGTTTCTGGGATTCTAAATCTCTGATAACTTCCCTTAAGTAGAAGACAAGGTTATTAAACATGAGCTTTCTTGTCAAATCCTGAGTGATGGTTGGCTGTTACCTTTTCACCTTTCTCCTCGTGAGAGGAGGGCAGGGGGCAGCACAAGAACTATACTCCAGGCTTACTACAACCCTGTAAATGTGTAACTTCTTTTAGCAGCACTGCTGTTCTGTTTTCTCAAAGCAACCTCTGAACTACTTTGGCATAAATGGCTAAACCTGAGGTACAGAATAACTTCAACTCAACTGAATTTGTGCTGTAACAGATGCTAAGCAACGGTGCCTGAGCTGCAGGTGCTGGACTTCCCTGGTAGGCTGTATGTGTCTGCACAGGCTGGTGTAAATTGTTGTGTAGTGCTGCTGTTTCAGCTGTGAAGTTTAATGCAGACGTGCATCACAAGGTGCAGAGTAGGTCACTCCTCACTAGCATGCAGATTCTTATTGAGTTGAAATTGTCAGATAAGACTTTAAATGTATAGATCACTGCAAACTGTAGTAAACTGCTTTTTTTAACCCATTTCTATCTTTCTGTAGGAACCTTGCCCTTGGGGGAGGCTTGCTGCTGCTTTTGGCTGAGTCGCGCTCAGAGGGGAAGAGCATGTTTGCTGGTGTCCCTACCATGCGGGAAAGCTCTCCTAAGCAGTACATGCAGCTGGGGGGCCGTGTGCTGCTGGTCCTCATGTTCATGACACTGCTACATTTTGATATGAACTTCTTTTCTGTAAGTATCTCAATATAAAAGTATGAGTTAAGGAACTAGAATACAGTACCAACTCCCGGATTGGCTGCAGGACCTGCTCAATGCTTATCATTCAAGTCTATTTTTTAGTAGAATTAATATTTAGAAAAAGTTATTAGATCATCTATGCCATGACAACCTGTTCTGCTGAACCTGTCCATGCTCTGTTCTGATGCTTGTGTATCTATTTAAGAACCACATGTAAGCTCGTGTTGACTTTTTTTTTTTTCCTTGCAGATTCTGCAGAACATTGTGGGCACAGCCCTGATTATCCTCGTGGCAATTGGCTTCAAGACAAAGCTGGCTGCCTTGACTCTAGTCATCTGGCTGTTTGGCATCAACATCTACTTCAATGCCTTCTGGACCGTCCCAGCCTACAAGCCCATGCACGACTTCCTCAAATACGATTTCTTCCAGACCATGTCTGTAATTGGAGGGCTCCTCCTCGTGGTTGCACTGGGTCCTGGCGGAGTCTCCATGGATGAGAAGAAAAAAGAGTGGTAACAGGAATAGCAACACTTCTTGGGACATAACATATTAAGTCCAGAACTGATTCTCTATGGATTCAACAAAAACTGCCAGCATTTTACACGTACATGCCCCCTTCCTATTAAAGGCACAGATGTTTTGAATTTGATTTACAGTGGCACCAGTAATATAATAGATGAAATCCTGTTTCTTCAAGGAATGTTGCCTAGGCTTATTCTAACTTCCTAGATTTGGAACTAACCCAAGGAACCTGCATTTTGCTGATGCTTCAGTGAGTTGCAGTAGAACAGTTGCTGTCTTTAATGTCAGCAACATTTTAAAATTTGAAGTACTGTGAGCAGATACAGCTGTATCATTCAGTGTGCTGTTGGGTTCTAGCTATAACTAAACAAGTGGATCCCCTTTCTCACCCTCTTCAAAACTGTCTTGTGCATAAGGAGTTCCATTGCTGGTTATAGCATTGCTTATCAAGGTGGAAAGCAGCATTAAAAAAATCACTGTTGTTTTGCTGCTCAGAGCCCTTTAATTCCATTTTGTTTAACAAGAGGGAAGGTCTTTCCTGCCCCCAAATAGAAGGCAAAAAGAAAACCCTGAAAGTAGTTGTAACCCCCTCTAGGTAAGAAAATGGAGAGGGTTTTCTAATGTGTCCCAGTTCCATTCTTGATGGTAACAAGGGAGAATCCTATATTGCTAATCAGGAAGCCTGTATGGCTAATGAGATTTCAAGAAGGAAGGGGGGGGAGATACTCCTGAAGAGACAGAATGTTAAATTCTGTGAAAATTCTGTGCCAAAAGAACTCTTTATTCAGCATTCTTTCCCCAAAGTTGCCCCTCCTGAATTCCCAAGAAGGGAGCTAAGTTGTGCTGCAGGTTCCATAATAAGAGCTCCTTTCTGCTATTAACCAGCTTCCATCCGTATATGCCCCAAATTCGTATCTGAATTGCAGGTTATTGGTGAAAGTGTCTTCAGAATTACAAAAAAAAAAACCAAAACATTTTTCCCTGCACTCAGTACATGCAAGATGAGAGCAGTCAATCTTCTAATCTGTAGTCTTTGCTTCTTAGATTCACTTCTGTCAGTCTCTCAGCTGTTGACTGAACAGCTGAAGAGCTGGGGTGCTGAACCCTGGAGTACAACCCCTTCTCTCTGCCATCTTGCACCACACCTGAGATGTGTAGGGAGGAAGCATGGAAGTCAGCTGTGTGCTGCCATAGCCCCAGTTCTCAACTCTGTATGCAAATGGTTATAGCTGAAGAATGCAAGTGCAAAGCCTGTGCAGTGAATAAACAGCCAGGGATGTAACTTGCATGTTCAGAGGGAGGAACTCCTCAGCAGAATGGTGAGGAGAGAGGAAGGCCCTGTTTTCACCTCTTGGTGCCATGACCTCTGTGCCATGAACATGCTTAGTGCTGCTCAGAGGAGGCATTTTGTCCTCTGCTAGTCAACTAGGTGAACCTCTTTCACTAGATTATGAAAGAATTCTAGAAAGCGTGAGCCCTACCAACTTGCTAACATTACATTGATCCTTGCACTGTTGTCTCCCTTGAGAAAGCTGCTCAACTGTTTGTTCAATGAGTAATTCAGCTGAACACTGCCAGCAGGAGCTATTTACCAGGGTCTCCTGGTAAGGACACTAACCTGGACAGTTCAGCTTAATGGTTGCTTTTTAGGAGAAAAAAACAGGCTGAAAGAACTGATGACAAATAGAAGAGCACTGTTGAATGTTAAACCAGTGATTTTCATCATCTTAAGGAGAAAATAGCCTATGTAATAGCAAGATGTGCTGCTGCTGAAGGAAACAAATTGGTGTGGGGGGGGTAGATGGGAGGGGGAGACAGCATTTAAGTTCAGGTCATGTAGAAAGCTTTCTTTTAAATCAGTTTTGCAGGAGAAGTTCACTGTGCCTGTCTTCATAGCAAAACAAACCGGTCCTTTAGGTTGTGCATACACAGCACAGGATGCTTTTGCTCAATTTCACTGCAGGTCCTAGAATGGTTTTAGAATACATCGAGGCAGTCATTCTCAGATATCTTAACTGCTGTTGATGTTTGTAGTATTTATAAATGGAATGATAGAAATGACTCCCGTAAGTAGCCCTTAAGTTGGCTTTTTCAGCTTGTGTCCTGTCAAACTAAGGAGCTGGATGATGGACTAGTCTGAAATATTGACCAGTTTCCTCTGAAAATCAAGTCCCCTCTCCAACAAAAGGCCCCAGAAAAGGAACCAACACTGTCCCTTGCAGCAGAAATATTTCGGTACTAAAGGGGCACAGTTAAGTGGAAGGCATTATAAGATATTTCTAGGCAGCACAGTATGCAGACTTACTAACTGTGAGTCCTGATACAGAAGATTCTGGTTTCCTACATGCACTGCTGTATTCATGCATCTCCCGAAAAATACAGTGACCTCTCCCCGTGGCTGAGAAGCTCTCACAAGCAGGATGTCAGCTATCAATTGGCTCTGCAAAGTGTTCTGGAATTCATTCTGAATATATTTTTGCTTTCTATGTGGAAAAAGAAATAAGTATAAATTCTCATTTTATGCTGTATTTTGTACCTTAGTTGTGTTTGAAAATGTTTTGATTTTTGGAAACAATCAAAATAAAACAATGGCATCTTTGTATCCACTTGGCGTGTGTGACTGGTGACACTCCACAGGCTACCTGGAAATGCTGGCTAGTGGTCTTGTGTGCTTTCTCTCCCACCTCCTGAAAACCATCTTTCCATAAGGAGGTCCACGCACTGGGCAGCCTGTGCTTGACCGCAGCAGTCATCCTTCCCTTGGTGGTGGGGGGTGGCTCATGGCTATTAGAATACAACTTAATTCCACCCTGCTATTCCCCTCCCCAGCTGTAATGGTTAACTGGAAGGAGCAAACACTTCAGCCAGCCTTGTGCCCCCTGTAGAATTGTTACACAACAGGCTTCAGGCCACATATTTATCATAAAATTTATTTGCCATTTGTTGCTTTCTTGAAGTTCTTGGGGTTTTGATGATGACTCTTGAATTTCTTCTTTAAAGGGCCTGACTGTTTCTATAGGAAAAAAAAAAAGTTAATCAGCTTATTTCCAAAACCCAAATCCTGCCCTTCCCAAGCCAGCTTAAAGAAGAGAAATTGAGTGTGGTCTCCTGGTCGCAGAGCCAGCCAGTTAGCATCCCTTTCTCTGACAGGCTTATGGTTTCATTAGATACAGTGACAGTCTCCCCACAGCAACGAACCTAAACTTCATCCAGCCTTCACTTTCCACTTGATAGTCATAAAGGATCCAGCCCCTTCCTCAGGCTGCCTTAGAGATTTATCCATCTTTACATATGTAACATCTGCCTGCTTCCCAAACTAAGAAGTATCAGGGTATGTCCTCTAAGGCAGGACCTTGCCAGCTCCTCAAAAGAGGCAGAAAAAGGGGTCTAGAAGGACCCTGTGACTTAAAAAGGGTTTAACTTGTGTTTATCTGTGAACGAGGAGGAAGATTACAGAACCCACAAGACATGCTTCAGTCTCCCTGTGAAGGCAGTGTGCGGCAGAATCCCACCAAAGCTGAGCTATTTATACAGGCAGGAACACCCCTAGTTACTGCAGGCAGGATAAACATTCACTGGTAGTAATTCACACCTCAGGATGGGAGTTAGCGGCTAGCACATGGGGAGAGTCTATTCTGAACAGCTTTGCACCTTCTGCTGGTTCTCAGACAGGAACAGATCAGACAAACACCTACAGGATGGGATCCCAGCTCCATGCTCCCCTCCTGCTGCACGCAGCAGTGTGACTCCCACCTTTCCCCTTTTGTTGCCAACTGCTCTGCTGACATCCATTCTTCCACTGTCCTCTCCGTTCACATCACCATTCTGCTTGGCCCCGTCATCCTCGCTGTCTGTTGCAAAGTCATCACTGCCCTTTGTGGTTTGTGGAGCTGCTGGGCTTTTTTCTGGGAAGAGTGCAGCTAAAATAGAAAGATTTAGCTCAGGATCAGTCCTCTGTGCACACAGGCTCTGCCTCCTCCTAACTTCACTTTGAGGGCATCTTAAGGGTGATTCGCCAAGCTGCTTCCAGTCTCTGAGCATATACTTGTCACTACTCAAATACCTGGGAAATAAACACACTGGGGTTTATTAGAAACACGCCTGGTGCTCTCACTAGCCTCGTTCTGGGAACTGTCCGGCACAGGTGGTTCTGTGGTGTTACACCTCTGCTCTCCTACAGCAAGGCAGTGCCTCCAGATGTAAGCAAGCAGCACACCCTGAACAACTTCTGTCAGACCCGAGGACTTGCTGAGAAACGAGGAAAGTAGAGATACCTAAAGCAGCAAATCCCCATGGATCTTGTATCCCTCCCCTCTCACCCTATGTGATCCAGCTCTGGTTATTACTTAGTGATAATTGCTATTACTGATTTTGCAGTGGTCAGTTTTTCCAAAACCCAAGAACCCCCAAGTGGATGGAAGTCACATGAGTAGCGGGGAGCAGTATAAAGAAGCCTGGACAAAATTAGCCGACGAGCTCCCTTCAGTACATAGATGATACCAACGTTCTTACTCACGTGGGTACAGGTCACTCATGCTGTCATCCGTCTCCTCTCCATCCTCATCGCTGGACTTTGGCTCCCAGAATTCCTCTTTTCTGTAAGGCTGTCTGCTCCCGTTCATTTGCTCATCAGGGTGGTGCGTCCTCTGCTTCTTCTGTCGCAAGCAGGCAGGGACGTACTCCACTCCTTCCTTCTGGCACTCCTCATCTAATAGCACGAGGGGTTGGGCAGCACTTAGCAAGGCTACCCAGTCACCCGAGTACTTTCCATTTCCAGCTCTAGCATATATTAAATGCAACTCAAAAGTATGTCAAGCTCCAACTCTAATATACATTCATGTAATCTACAGTGATAGTATGGACCACGAAAGGCGGGAAAGACATTAACACAGAGACTGTGCTGGATGTGTGAACCACCCTCTCTGGGGAAGTTTTAGAGCCGCTCCTCTCAAGTAAGGATGTTCCAAGGTATTTGCTAGTAGCTGATTGCTCCCTACATCTGGGATCTTCCTTCCTAGCTGAGAAGCACACACAGCAACAGCAGTACATTACTGTCAATCTAAAGAAAACTGACCCCCTCCCTTCATGTAGAGCTACTGGAATCTCAGGTCAGGGAAAAAAGTTGTCTGGTTTTATCTTCAGAAAAGCTACTTACATGTTTTTAGGGCCTTCTGATAGCGCTTCCCTTGGACATGACGCAGCACGTGCTCTGGAAACTTGTTGATGTGTCTGAGAGTGAGCTTGCAAAACAGCTGGTGTCTGAGAAGACACAGAAAGAAAGAAAGAGCCAGCAACAGAGTTTAAGTATGCTATTACTTAATAACTTTTCACTTATAAGCACTGTGCTCAAAGCTGATAAATACTTTATAAATACTTTCCCTGTCCATAAAGACTCAAGAACTGTGTAAAGCTCAACCACTTTATGCCTGAGATTGAACAAAGTGTAAAGCACAACACAGAGGAGGAAGAATACGTACAGATTCTTTGTGCTGGGCACTATATGGGGCTCAAACTTGCCATAGTCAAACTCTCTGGCTGTCTTTATCAGCCGCTGATACTTCTTGCCATTAGTATAAGCCTGCAGCTCCGACAGCCGACATGGCATCTCGTGGCCTGTCAGCCTGCATCTCACCTGAAGAAAAACGATGTGTGGTCAGGGAAGCCCAGGGGATTGCCCCAGAGCTGGGGAGGGCAAGAGAGGCCTCCAGCTCCCACCAGCATCCTCCTCTCCGGCCCTCCTCCGACTTCCACAGCGGCAGAAAAGCCTCCGGGCCAGGGAGCTTACTGGGCCCGAGCCCATCTGCCGGGGCACCCTCCCCGGCCTGCTACCAACCGGCCTCGTCCCCCCTCACGGCCCCCTCAGGGAACGCGGCCCCGGCCCTCCCTCACGAACCCCTCAGGGAGGCGGCCCCAGTCCCTCCCAGGGCCGCCTCCGGGGATGGCCCCGGTCCTCAAGGCGCCCCTCAGCCCCGAACGGCCCGGCTCCATCCCCACCTTGCCCGGTTCCGCGAGGGTGAGGAGCGGGTGCTGCCGCAGGAAGAGCCGCTCCTCCTCGGGCACCTCAGCCATGGCCACGCCGTCGGCGGGCCCGGGCCCGGCCATAGAGAGGCGCCGCCAGACAGGAGAGCGCCTCAACTTCCGGTGCCGGCCACGCCGGGGTGCAGCCGGCACCATAGAGAGAGGCGACTAGAGAGGGGCCTGACTGCCTGCCCCGCACCGGGGAGGTCTGGGCCGGAGGCGGGTGGCGGCGCGGGAGACGG